ATAACACGGGAATGCTGGACAAGTGAGTCATCAGTTATACTGTGTTGCTTGCTCAGATATGGGAAAGAAAAGTGATTTAACTGAATTTCAACGTGGAATGATTGTGGGTGCGAGATGTGTCGGAACGAGTATCAGCAAAACGGCTGCACTTGTGAAGTGTTCTAGAGCAGCAGTTGTTAAAGTGTACAAAGAATGGACAATCAAGCAAAAAACCGGGTCTCAACGTCAGACTTGTGGTCGTCACAGGGTACTGAATGCTCGATCAGAGAGAAGGCTGGCCAGGATTGTGCAGCGCAACAAGAGAGCAACAGTGCGACAAATTGCAAGTGATCTTAATCAAGGAGCCATTGTGAACGTCTCTGAACGGACTGTTCGACGCACATTGCGCCGTATAGGGTATGGAAGCAGACGACTGAAGGGGTGGTCATAATAATTTGGCCACTCAGTGTATAAATGCAATAAAAAATTTGCACCCTTGTGTTATTGGCTCTACTTACTGTTCATTACGCTCACTAAACCCGGATGAGGGGGTTTCAAATTTGAAACTATTTTTGTTCAGAAAGCTGCACATTTTCTTCAAAATGATGGTCTGACTTTAGTTTATTTTTAACCGAATTTACAAGTTTATAGAGAATAAGAATGTATATGTTTATATACGTTTTTCTGAAGATAAAACTTAGGCCAAAAAACATATTACCTAAATGTGTTGCATCATAAACTGGAATGTCCTAGTCCTAGTGTTTTCATTTTATTGGGCACCTGGGCCGCGAAGTGACCCGAACTGGAATGTATTATGAGCCTCTTTCACTTAGTGGAACACTTAGCATTGACTCCAGAGAATTTTTAAAAAAATCCCTGTCAGGAATACATTTTGAATTGTATTTAGTGTAGCTTATAACGAGAAATCGGTTTCAGATTTGAAATCAGCGTCTCGAAAATATATGAGATCTGATAAAAAAATCTCATGTTTTTCGGGAAAAGAGTTATTTAATTCAGTGCTTTTTAATTTGTTAGTGTTATTTAAGTGTCAGTGTTCTTTAATTTAAAAATCTCAAAAGTATTGTTAGAAGGATTTGGATCATTGAATTCAATTCCGGATTTTATTGGGACAAAATTTAAACCTGTTATTTTGTTCGGTTACCATTGCAGGGCTGTCAACTCTCTACTCCTTTTGTAAAAATTTATTCTAGTGGTTGATAAGTTAATAATTTAAAGTATTATTTTTTTTATAAATTTAATCTTATTTCTTACATCACTTCGAAAAAATAATTTAAGTTCATATGCAGCGCCACTTTGTTACAGCTCTATCTTGGTGAGGATTTCAAAATGTTGGTAAAAGTAGCAAACATTCTGATAGTTTTGGTTTTCGAATGTCTACCACTCTATAAAACATTTTACGAAAAGCTGGCAAGCCTTCATTGGAATATAAATCCTCGTTAATATTTTTTAACATAGAGAACAATTTAGTAATAGTGTGAAAATTTCTAATAATAATGCTTTACAGTTTCGTATTCATTTTAAATGCTAGCCTGCCAACTACTACGCTTTTTGCGAAATATTTTATAGAGTGGTAGACATTTGAAAACCAAACCTTCAGAATTTTCGGCAATTTCGCCAACATTTTAAGAGCATCACCACGAAAGAGCTGGAGCAAAGTGGCGTTGCATATGAACTTTCAAATTATTTATAAGTAGTGGTGTAGAAAAATAAGTTTAAATTAATAAAGATTAATACATTAAAACATTAACTTAGCTACCACTCGAATAAATTTTTCCAAAAGCGTCGGAAGTTGGCAGACCTGTTAATGGCATATGCTGCCTGAACCCAGTTTCACGAAAAGCTTATTATAAAAATAAATATAATTTAGTTTATGTTTAATAATTGTAAAAG